TGGGGGTAGGAGGAGGGTCTAGGCTTGAACGTCAGATTTTTTTCTCAAACCTTCTGGTGCTGGGGTAAGGTTTATCTTCAAATGCCATCAAAGGCCTTGACCTCCCAAAGCTTTTCGTACTCCGTGCCGAGACCATGTAAGAAACAAGAAGTCATTATAAAGGATTGCAAAAGCAGCGCAGCTGAATGACATGACAGATGATGACGTGATTCTGTGTGCCTGCAATCTACAGTAGCAACTTCTGACAATCATGAGCTAACTCTTCATGACCATGAAAAAATCCCCTGCTCCTACAACGTGGCACAAACGAAGAAGTCAACCGCCTGAGTTCTCAACTGCAGGGACGGCCAAAATGTGGCGGTGCTTAGAATCTTGCCCGTTCTCGAGTCTATGCGGATGACCCCATTCCTTTAACAATTAGCCCATGACAAGCGGCTTCAAGACCTACTGAACCTATGACACCTTGCAAGGTCGTAAGAACACCACTCATAGTACGAATGATAATTATAGTAGTAACAGTACTTGTAATCATGGAACACAATGATGCAAGTACTTGATCCACTCAAGCTGCTGTCGGACCGTGCCGCAAGCTTCTCTTGCAGTCCACGCACTTGCCTCCGTCGGACAAGCATGGAAGGTCCAATCGGGCGGATGCAACATGATGTGAGCTTTTGTGAAATCAACTACAGATATGTAACTACAAGCAATTAAGCAAACAAGCAGGCAGGTAGGCATTCGTGTGCCTGCAGTACGTAAAGACATGTCAAGCGCGTACTATGCCATGTCCATTGAGCACGCGTTCTCAAGCTCCTTGGCATCCTATCGCACAAGGACTGGCTGCGGGGCAATAACAAGTCCATTGAATGTCGTTGGATGGTGTCGTCAAGTCGATTCACATTCTGTTTTCAAAAAGGTATTGTTTACCGTCATTTTTGCTTGTTATTGTAGCATCCACGGCCAGACTTTTCCAGCTCTGTACTCTTCGTGTTGGACCCATGCAAGCAACGCATCCCAGCATACACACCTCGTTGAATGATGATCGTGGATAACTAGACATTCCTCTGATCGCACACCGGGCGAAGCGAATGCAACCGCTCGCCCCTTACCCAGGAAGCATTCATACGGCATTCATGGCTCAGGTGATGCGTGGTCTTGGGATGCTTATCGCCGTTAACAAGCCGTGGATGTGGCATGCCCTTGAAAAATCCTCCTTGGTGACCAGATTTGCCAAGCGGCTTTTCCAAGTCTTTTCGCAAGGAATCAAGGCGCCCAAAGCTCTCCTTCAAGCAATGCGGTGCGCTTCAGCAACCGGCGCTCGCCGCCCATCACAGGACAGAGAAACCTACTATGGAATTAGGACTTTGAAGCCCAATATGAAGGTCAGCACACAGGGCGTCACACCCGGCAGTGTGGGGAGGGTGGGGCAAGACTGAAAGCAAGATGAAAGCGTCCAGAGCTGCTTAAGGTACGCTGACTTACTGCATGTTGACGAGAGGCAGGGCTTCTACAGCTGCCCGCTGCAGCCGGAACCCTGTAAACCCCAAACCCTAA